TGTGAGTGAGTGAGTGAGTGAGTGAGAGAGTGAGTGTGTGTGTGAGTGTGTGTGTGTGTGTGTGTGTGTGTGTTGGTCACTCACAGCAGTTCTTCTCGTCCTCCTGTTGGCTGCAGTCAGGAAAGCCGTCACAGATCACGTTGTGATGGATGCAGGTTTTGTCTCCGGGACATTCCCACAAGCCCCGCTCCACACACCCTAGTGACAGACACACACAGGAAACACTGTGTATATTTGTGAGCGGGATAATAATGCTGTCTATCATGTCATGTGAGTGTGTATTTTTACTCACCGCATGTTTTCTCGTCACTGTCGTCGTCACAGTCTGTGTGTCCATCACAGCGTTTGGATGAGAGGACACATCTTCCCGAGCGGCATTTAAAGTGACTGGGTGAGCACTCTGAAACGCACACACACACACACACACGATCATCTAACCCTCATGGGAAACTGTACAGGTTACTGAATTATCTTAAATTCATTGATCTGAATTGATCTGAATAATGACTCTATTGTCTTCTGTAGAGCTGCTTTACAGCTGAAATTGAATTTGTCTCATAATTGATGCATTTTAAAACATATTTTTTTCTGTTTATTACTGTGAAGCTGTTTTGGAATAATCTGTATTGTAAAAAGCTCAACAGAAACAAATGTGACTTGATGGCATGTGCATTTGTTGTACTGTATCTGTTGAACTTTTGTCATTTCTAGATGGGAGTCAAGGGCAGCCAATAGAAGTGTAAGGTTAAAAACAAGTGACGTTTAGCGCATTGATGAAGATGGTCTGAACATTTCTGCTGGAAATTTTGTGCTCTCACACTCAAACACTCAAGCGCCACCAACAGTTCAAATAAAAGATAGCTGGTTCAAATATAAGTATTAGCTTGACTGCGCACTGACCGTTCACTTCCGGGTCGGGAAGCAAACAGGAACTATTTGCTTGACCTTCCTCTGGAAACTGAGTGCAGTCTGTATCCTCAGGCCACTGTAATCCCACAATTCCTAGCACTGATTCACATCGTTCCTTTGAAATCCTACACAAAGACCTGATACACACACACAGTTTTCAGTGTCTATTATACAGTGGGTAAAATATTTATCTGATCCCCTGCTGATTTTAGTTTGCCCACTTACAAAGAAACGAAGGGTCTGTAATTTTTATGATAGGTTTATTTGAACAGATAGAGACAGAATACCAACCAAAAAATCCAGAAAAAACACATTATATAAAGGTTAGAGATTGATTTGCATTTCAGTGAGTGAAATAAATATTTGATCCCCTACCAACCAGCAAGAGTTCAGGCTCCCACAGACTGGTCATGTGCCCATGTGGAACACAGATTAGTCCTGCCACTTTAAGAAGTTACTCCTAATGTCAGCTCTTTAGGTGTATAAAACATCTGTCCACACAATCTGTATCTTCCACTCCAACCTCTCCCACCACCATGGGCAAGACCAAAGAGCTGTCAAAGCATGAATGGGCTACAAGACCATCAGCAAGAAGCTTGGTAGCACATTAAGGTCATGGAGAGGCCTAGCCAGTCTCAGACCTCAATCCTATAGAAAATCTGTGGAGGGAGCTGAAACTTCGAGTTGCCAAACAACAGCCA